CAGACACCCCCTTTTACCAATTTTTCCCCCACCCCCCCCGTGCCTTGGCCAGCGACAGCTCGAGATCCTGGAAGGGAATATGAAACCACGAATCAGATTTCAGATTTCCACCACCTCAACCAGAAAACACGCCTTCTGACTCTTCACCGCTTTCTGCAATGCTTCTCGTGCCTGTTTGGCAAGATTCTCAAAAAATCCCAAGGCAGCAACAGAATCCCCAAATACATAAGCCAAAGGAGGAACGCACCTATCATGCAATTGTCGTCATATGGGGCGCTACGTGTGGGGGCGACAGCCTTCAACTGACAAAAGTATGGCCTCAAATTACACAAAGAACAGAGCTGCAGTGCTTCTCGCGAAATTCTACAGGCAAACGGCTTCCCCATGGTTTCAAGCTCCGCAAGCTAAGTCGGTCGGAAGGAATTCCGCTTTCGTCTTGAGGAAGGCGACGAGCTCCAAGGGCCCGCAGGAGGACCGTACAGTCGGCGGTATAGCAGGAGATACTCCGGGAAAATCAAGTCAGCCTGTGGAATGACGAACTCTCGATAGGTTCCACATTGCACTTCTAAGTCTCCGACAAGAGAATCACACTTCTCAAGTCTCAGCTTGTTCTGCAAGCTGTACGGATCACTTGCATTGTCAAGAGCACGCCGCACGCGCAGAACTCTTCCGAGGATTACACGGCAGAGCAGTACGGGAAAGAGCTGCAACGGCTTTGCTGGTGTGCGACGTCCTGTAGCGGCTGGGGGCCCCTGATACGTTGCATACTCATCGGCCTTCGAGGCACACTCCGAGAAATAAAGTCCTTGTGCAAACATGCATTTCCGAGCGGAGCCGAACCGCGCCCGTGTGCTTTGCCCAGCGCATTTTATCTTGAAGCCTTCATGTAGAATATGGAAGGCAGATGTCACGCTGGTGCCGTGGAATAGATGGCACTCATTGACCTGGGGGCCTGTGCCGAGATCCAAAACACCATGTGTGCGTGCAAGAGGTTCCAGCACAGGGCAAGCCTCAGGATTCCTTGAGGCTACAACATCCCGTTGTCTGAGGTACTGCTCCCACACTTCACCTTTCATTTGAGTCACGAAGGCATCACACAGTTTCAGTCGAGCAGGCATTGGCCCCTTGCGATCACAGGAGCGACGACGCAGGAATGTAGTGTCCAGCAGGGACTGCAGCTGTGCAAACAGGCCACTCTGACTCCGCCTCTCTATGCTCTGCAGCCCTGGTACTGCCATGGCATGGCGCGCGATGTGTCTCGGCAGTCTCGGAGTGGAGTTGCCTGCGTATCCGCCAGGCTGCACCTGCATCCTGACAAATGGCTGCGGCTTGAACCTCCTCGTGCATGGTATGCAGATTCGAGAAAATCACTTTGCAAGTATCATAGTCATCAAGTTCTAACCCTACATTTGCCAAGCGCGGGCCTGCGCTGCAAAGCCTCGGACTGGAAAACTTGAAAGCCCCACAACAGCTTAGCCGCTAAGCCCTCGAGGCCAGGACTCTCCGCCTCGGCTTTTTGGGCAGCCAGATCTGACTGGAGCTCCCTCGGCGTCATGCGAAAGTCAGCGCAGCGTAGTCAACGACTTGCAAACAACAGCAGACACATCACACCCCTCTGCAGCCCTGCACAAAGTGAATGTAAGTGGTCTCTACTTGCTGTAGATTGCTTCACATGACGAAGCAACTTACATTGTGCGGGGAGTTGACTCTCAAGATAACACACTCTTTCCTTGCATTGTTATCCCTCCAACATGCTCAGCAGTTGCTGTTCGCCATCATCTAAGCATCGCGCTTCTTCTTCCTCCTCTCCTCCGACAGCGCCTTCGAAAACAGGGGGATTCCTCATAATTCCTCAAGTTGGCAAGACTATGTGCGGGACTTAAGTGAGCCATTGCAGAAACATAGGTAATGCCACGAGCCTTCTCCAACTCCTGATTCTCTTGCCGAATCCTGAGCTGCCAATGTTACCCAGGTATGTGAGGCGTGTCAAAATCCTGGCTGCAGCAACATCTGTGCTTCAGACTTCTTCTCCGCCTGCCAATCCCAAAAGGGCAGCAGCAAGCATTCTGACACCCTATAGGCGCCTGAAGGTCTGAGGATGACCCAAACTAAAGCTTGAAACATTGAAACACGAAACCGGCCGAAGTCTTTACTCTGCGCGGCGCTGGCTTGCCTCCAAGGCCTCGCCCTGCGCAGGGACTTGGGTGAGGAAAACGCCAGCCACGCTTCAGCAACCGCAACGCCTCGCCCCAGACCTGTGAACAGTACCCTTTGCATTGCCGTCAAGGCCTCCATCAACTTCTTTTCGGCCTCCGCACAAACCCTCTGGGTTAGGCAGGGCCAGCTGCACCGACAAAACTGTACGACTACAGAACTGGAAAGGCCACAGTCTGAAAGATGTAAGTGCTCTTTGGCCAGGAAGCATCTGGCATCGGCACAGGTGGATGCTTCTGGCATGGAGAGGTTGACCCTCAGGGTGCAACCCACTCCGCACTGAGATGGACTGAGTATACTTACGCAAAGCCGACACTCAAACCGGTCGGCGGGTTTAATTACTACTGGCTAATTCTTTGCTAATTTGACACCTTCGTCAGTGGGCGCTGGCAAAGAACACCCATGCAAAACTCATTTTGAGTTGTTAGCACAAAGAGATGAAAACAAGCTGGCAAAGCTACCGCCCACAACCTCGACGTGACGCTGGCCATGTTGCACTTCTGTGGCAAGCATACAGCCCATCAGGAATGCACAAAACGTGCCATCTCGGCCAAATGTTGCCAACAATGCAAAAGGTGTGTGGCGCTGCGTGAGCTTCTTGGCGAGTTGTTGCTGCCAGATGCCCTCTGCTCAGGTAAGCCTGGTAACATCTGAGATTCCCAACTAAGTGGGACTGTATCAGAGCAGCACACGTTTAAAATGATCTGCCCGCTTTGCGACACACTC